TTGAAATGCAAAGACCAGAGGTTACGTATTACACATCTTTGTATCTGTGGCAGTGCAAAGTATAATACAGTTTGTATGTAAATATACTCAATAGTATTAAGAACTGAATTGACTTAAATTATGAAGAACTTTGAAATCAAGGGAGAAAATAGCATTTAGGTGTGTTTATGGTTTCCAAACAACTTTATTCATAGTGTGTGGTAATTTACATCTAAGCCCTGAAAGAACTGACATTGTCTACTACAATTCTTACTCTTTCTCTCTTTTTTGATTACTTGTTATAAGCAGAAAAGTAAGTCTTTATTTCCAAAATGAGAAGGAATAGGAAATAGACTGAACGATAGAATTTGGATTTTCAAAGATCTTGCTACTTAAAAACTTTCTGTCATCTGATTTCTACTCCTACCCCTAAGCCTTGTCTATGTTTAAGCAGTGGATGGAAGGAAGGAAAGAAGGAAGAGGGGAAGGGATGGAAGAGGAGAAGAATGGGAAGAAGGAAAGAAAAAAGGGACAACTAGACAAAGGAAACACACACACTTTTTTGAAGAGGCCATCATAATGTCACTGTAAGAAAGTAGGTGGACAGAGCCCTGTGCCCAGCTGGAGGGAGTTAATCAATGCTGCGCTGGTCACATCGTGTCACATGTGCGTCACTTCTGTTTTTGTCACACGGACCTGTCTTCAGGACAAGGAAAGTGTAACAACTCACTGGTTCATTAATCCTCTTATCGGCACTGTGTTTTTTGTTCATTTCCATTACCACTGAGGTATTGATACACAGTTTAATTAACTAGTTACGTGGCAGTACTGGGATTGAAACCTGAGTCTAACCACAGATCTGATCCAGATGAAACTGTTATTCTATTCTGTGTGCTAATCATGCTATAGAAGAATGTGGCATGAATGTGGTGTGTTTGGTGTGGAGAAGTGAAGACTTGGAAGGGTGTTATAATTGGTGTTTTCAAGTGAGGACAGGCAGAGCTGCAAGAGAGATCAGAGAAAACTGTTACATCATTCCTGGGATTGTGAAGGTGATTGGATCCATTTTTTTTATGTGATGTGGGGGACTAGGGATTGAATTCAAAGATTTCGTGCTGAGCAACTGTATTAGTCAGGGTTTTACTAGATAAACAGATATAACACAAGATGTACAGATGTATAAGAAATCACAAGATTGGCTTATGATGGTCAGCCGCAGAGTTGGATGAGGAAGTGTGCAGAGGGCGTCTGCACACTGGAGACCAAAGGTCTGGAGTTCACTGCAGCATTCCATTCAAGTCCATATCAGGAGGCTGATGGATCTGCCGCAGAAGGCTGAAGGATCCAAGGTGGAAGCCAAAGAGTCTGCACTAGAAGCCAGGAGAGGACTTCCAAGCTGAAGGTGAAGACTGGAGCTCCTGTGAAGAATGAAAGTCCCTTTGTCCTTCCTCATTTTCCTTTTATATCATCTAGATGATGATCCACCCGAGGGTGTCTCCTCTACACCCTAGGGTGTAGAATTGCTGAGCCAATTGCTGAGCCAAGTTTAGCTAAGCTTCTAAACTTCTCAGGTTGACATAATCAATCAACCACTACAATCCACCCCTTGTCAACTTGGCAACCAGACACATTTCTTTAAACCAATCCCCAGATACAAAGACATGTATATAACTGCACCTAACATGTTATAGCTATCCATCATATAAACAGAAACACAATAATCTCCTTACCCAAATAGAATGTAAATTTTCTTTGGTTGATGCTTACACTTATAATTTCATAACTTGAACATTATAACCAGGTTTAACAGTCCTGAAGAACCAGTATTAAGTCTATCAATATTATATTACATTAGCACCATATAGGGGAGAAATAATACCATTATAATCCTCTTTTCTGTAGCTGGTCACAGGGTCATAGCTGGTATTTAGAACTACCTTCTTCCACCACCCATTCTGTAGTCCCTTGACCTTCAGCAATCACCTCAGCAGGTCTTGGTTATTTTCCTGGTGGAGTAACCCATACCTTCATTCCTGAAGGCTCTGGATCATTTGTCATTGTGCCTGTATTAGGTTGTTGTAGTTTTCCATTGACTTTGATAGTAGGGCAAGGTAATATTAAGAGACACCCTAAGGGATCTCCCTGCACTCTATGTGTATTCTTCTTTTCCTCCATTGTGGAGTAGTAGTCCAATTTCCCCCTGATAGTCTGGGTCAGTTACCCCTGACAACACTGTGATTCCCTTTTTAGCTTGTTTCCTCAGAGGCATGAGGAGACCAAAATGACCAGGGGGGATCTTAGCTTCCAGTTCAACGGTATCATTGTTGTGCTTCCTGGTATAAGCCTTCCCCCCTCTGGAAGTAAGATTTCTAAGACAGCAGAACCTAAGGTCAAGGGGACAGGAAGCAAAAATTTTGCTAGTGTATCACTAGGGGTAACGGTGAGTGGTACCATTCCTACTTCCACCCCTTGATTCCTGGACCCATGAATCCTGGCAGTGGGGGACACAGTGCCATACAGTGGATGCTGATTCAAGGCATATATAGCCTTTTGAAGTACCTTACCCCAGCCCTGCAAGCTATCGCCACCTAGCTGGCACTGTAATTGTGTCTTCAAAAGACCATTCCACCTTTCTATCAATCCAGCTGCTTCTGGATGGTGAGGAACATGGTAAGACCAGTGAATTCCAAGAGCACGGGCCCATTGCCTCACTTCTTTGGCTATAAAATGTGTTCCTTGGTCAGAGGCGATGCTATGTGGAATCCAATGATGGTAGATAAGGCATTCTGTGAGTCCACGGATGGTAGTTTTGGCAGAAGCATTACGTGCAGCAAAGGCAAATCCATACCCAGAATATGTATCTATGCCAGTGAGGACAAAACGCAGTCCCTTCCATGATGGAAGTGGTCCAGTGTAATCAACCTGCCACTGGTTGCAGGTTGATCACCATGGGGAATGGTGCCATACTGGGGACTCAGGGTTGGTCTCTGCTGCTGGCATATTGGGCATTCAGCAGTGGCTGTAGCCAGATCAGCCTTGGTGAGTGGGAGTCCATGTTGCTGAGCCCATGCGTAACCTCCATCCCTGCCACCATGGCCACTCTGTTCATGAGCCCACTGGGCAATGACAGGGGTGGCTGAAGGAGTTTGGCTATTATCCACAGAACAGGTCATCTTATCCACTTGATTATTAAAGTCCTCTTCTGCTGATGTCACTTTTTAGTGAGCATTTATATGGGAAACAAATATTTTTACATCATTTGCCCATATGAGAGGTCTATCCACATACCTCTTCCCCAAATATCTTTGTTTCCAATTTTCCAATTATGTTCCTTCCAAGTTCCTGACCAGCCAGCAGACTGTTGGCTATGGCCCATGAGTCAGTATACAGTCACACATCTGGCCACTTTGTCTTCCAGGCAAAATGTACTGCCACATGCACTGCCCTAAGTTCTGCCCACTGATGGTTTCCCTTCACCACTGTCCTTCAGGGATGTCCCAGAAAGGGCTGTAATGCTGCAGCTGTCCACTTGCAGGTGGCGCCTGCATAGCGTGCAGAGCCATCCATAAACCAGGCCCTAGCCTTCTCTTCCTCTGATAGCTGATCATATGGTACACCCCACAAGGCCATAGGTGCATGCTGGGAAACAGAAGGCAGTACAGTAGGCGTAGGAGCCATAGGTATCTGGGCAACTTCCTCATGTAGTTTGTACCCTCTGGACCTTCCTCATGTAGTTTGTACCCTCTTGTACCCTCTGGACCTTCCCTGGCTCGATCATGAATATACCACTTCCATTTAATGATAGACTGTTGCTGTGCACATCAACTTTATGACTTGGTGGATCAGATAATATCCAGACTATGATAGGCAACTCAGGTCGCATGGTGATCTGGTGTCCTGTACTCAAGTGTTCAGTTTCCACTGAGGCCCAGTAACAGACCAAGCGCTGTTTTTCAAAGGGAGAGTAGTTGTCTGCAGATGATGGCAGAGCTTTGCTCGAAAATCCTAAAGGCGTCAGCTGCAATCCACCTATGGGGGCCTGCCAGAGACTCCAAACAGCATCTCTGTCTACCACTGACACTTCAAGCACCATGGGATCGGCTGGGTCAAATGGCCTCAGGGGCAGAGCAGCCTGAACAGCAGCCTGGACCTGTTGCAGAGCCTTTTCCTGTTCTGAGCCCCACTCAAAATTAGCAGCGTTCTGAGTCACTCGGTAAATGGGCCAGAGTAAGACACCTAAGTGAGGAAAGTGTTGTCTCCAAAATCCAAATAGGCCCAGTAGGCATTGTGCCTCATTTTTGGTTATAGGGGAAGCCAGATGCAACAGCTTGTCTTTTACCTTAGAAGGAATATCTCTACATGCTCCACACCACTGGACTCCTAGGAACTTCACTGAAGTAGAAGGACCTTGAGTTTTTGTTGAATTTATTTCCCATCCTCTGGCTCTCAAATGCCTTACTAATAAATCCAGAGTGGTTGCTACCTTCTGCTCACTAGGCCCAATCAGCATAACATCATCAGTATAATGGACCAGAGTGATATCTTGTGGGAGAGAAAGACGATCAAGATCCCTGTGGACTAACTTGTGACACAGGGCTGGCAAGTTAATATACCCCTGAGGTAAGACGGTGAAGGTGTATTGCTGGCCTTGCCAGCTGAAGGCAAATGGTCTCTGATGATCCTTATGGATAGTCATGGAGAAGAAGGCATTTGCCAAGTCAATAGCAGCATACCAACTACCAGGAGATGTATTAATCTGCTCAAGCAAGGAAACCACAACTGGTACTGCCACAGCAATTGGAGTCATCACAGTGCCAAGTCTGCCTGGACAATGAGTCTATGATTATAATGTGTTTTGCAGAAGCCCTGATGGTGACTGCACCCTCCTGCTGGTGGGTCATCTTGGATTCTATGCAAACAGCTTTATCAGCTCATGTGAGTGGTGATCGTGATATTTGTTGAGGGAGGCCTGTTACTATCTATTTTATAGCACTGTCTTTCTATCTCAATTTTGCATATAGAGAAGACATGAAAGAACCACATGATCAGGATACCGATGAGGGAAAATCAGATGGATCAAAGAGTGATGGGAAGCAGTCTTCCAAGTCTGAAGGGAAATGTAAGTGAAGATGATACTCTTTTTTATTTTTAAATTTAGATAAAATAATTTTCAAGTGTGCACATCTAAATTTATAGAATAGAAATGGTTTACTTGTTTAATTCTCATATAAAATTCTAATTGCTTATGAGCAGAGTCTGTGTTTTAATTGTTTCTCTCAAACTGGCAGCTAGAATTTACTATCCTCTCTGTATTGACAATCCTCTATTCTCAGATCTGGTCTAGGTTGCATTTGTCCATTTTTTTCTTCTTTTTTGGTACCAGGATTGAACCCAGGGCCTTGTAAGCTCAAAGCCAACACTCTGGCAACTGAACCACAGCCCTGGCCCATGAGTTTCTAATGGACTTTTCTGATGCACTTTAGAAGAAAGAGCTGGACTTCAGTTTTAAGTGCTGGGTCTACTGTTTAGTAATGCTTGACCTTGGAGAAAGTACTGTGCATTTCTCATCCACTTACATGACAGTTATGAATTGTTTGGGAATTAAATTGGGTAACATATAGAAGGACTTCATGGACTATAAATAAGACAGGAAGAGAGGAATTTTATAATTAGGACTTTTTAAAAAGGTGGCTGGTTCTTTCCGTCTGGCCACCAGAGTGGTAGTAGATATCTTAGTGGAATCTTGACTTTTTCAGGTTCTAATCTCAAATATAGTTTCAGAAATTTGATTTTGATTTTTTACCCAGAGATCACCACCTGGCAAACATCAATTCAGATACAAAATTTGCTTGAATTCTTTTAATCTGCCTCAAACATGTCTTGTAAATATATACTTTTTCCACATCGTGTTTTATTTTAGGCATTTATCTTCTCTTGCTTGGACCTTTTATAAGGATTTTTGCTGAAGTCTTCCTCTCTAGATCTCCACATCACTAGCAGAGTTACTTTTTAAGCGAACTATGATTGTATCGCTTGCCTCAAAAACTATAGCTTGCCATTCCCCTTTGTTTTTCCATTTCTACTTCACTGTCTATGTGTCTGACACACCACTATCTGCTTTTTTGGCTCCTAGTTCTTGGCAGAGATTTCCTAGTGCTGCTTTCTGCTTTCCATGGATGGACTTAATGATTATTGCACCTTGACTAGCACTGTCTCAGGACCTTACTTCCTTATGTCAGACTCTCTGGGCACAGGTCTTACCAAATATGGGCTGTGCCTGTGCTCAGCTCATTAGTTAGGGCATACAACATGGGTATTAGGATTCCAGTTGATAATGTGAAGTCATTTGCTGACATTCTAAACATCCTCTAACCTGTTGCTGTGTGAAGAGTTTAATCATACAGACAGTGAGCATAAGAAGGCTGAGTGGCTATATTAATATCAGATAACGTAGACTGAGGCAGAGAGTATTACCAGTGCCAAAGAGGGGCATTTCATAATGAGAACTGGATCAGTTTATTAGGAAGACATAACAATCATAAGTTTGCATGCACTTCATAACAGATCATCATAATATACGAAGCAAAAATTAATAGAATTAAAGGAAAACTAAAAGTCCATACATAATGGGAGAGTAGTTGAGTATTAGTTATTTCCCAGGGGCCAAAAGGAGAAGGCCCTACTATTAATGTTTGTATATTGTTGGATGCAGTAACCATGCTGAACACTTTTTAAAATTATTATAAATCCTGAGTAGCCCATATGGATTTTCTATGTGCACAGTCATGACTGGCAGGCTTCCTTGTCGTGCCCCCGGTCTCAGAGAGAAGATGAGAGTAAACAAAGGCTCACAGAGGCGAACCGGTTTTACAGAAGACAGTTTGTCTCTGTGGTATCTGCAGAGGAGCGGTCCCACAACTTCCTACTTTCTTTGGCTAGAGAGAAGAACAAGTGGAAGAAACTCACATATAACATCTTAGCTCATAAGACAAAAATGCCAGCCTGTTTTGTTTTTTGATGTTACAGTCTTACTCTTCTGAGAGTGCCCCAGTCCTTGCACCTGCTCAAAATTGTGTATTTAACTATGCCCACATTTGAATTTGATCTGAATGTTGGCTTATACCTGGACCACTTCTATTCCTATCCCAATTATCTTTCATCTTAGGTCCTCCTAATATATCACTTCAGAGAAAAATAATCGTTCTCAGAGAAGACTACGCTTGAATAGAATTATTTGTCTTTAACATAACGAGTCCTCTATAAATGTTAACAAAATTCAAGTGAATAGCAACATATTGACCATTTTTTCCTTTTTTTTTTTTACTTTCCTGTAAGTATGTAATGATAAGAAGTAGGCTGGAAATGCAGTTAAAATAGAGAAGTTTATAAGACTGATCAAATCAAGTAATTCTTCCAAGAATTTCTAAACATGAAAATTTATTAAATTTAGAGGATAAACACATTGGAAATGTAGCTACCTTGTAAAGAAAATATTTTACTAAGAAAATGTTTTAATTCACAATTTGGAAATTACTACACTTTTTTTAACAGCTCATACAAAAGAAGCCTTAGAAGATATCACAGATGAAACAATTACCGAAGGGGAAGAATCATATCTAGAGGAAGAAGGTTCAGATCTGGAAAATGAGGAGGCAAGTTCAGGTTCATCAGGATATGACTATTCAGATAGCACTAAAAGTAAGTATTGCAAGCTTTCCATTAGCAGTTTGATGAGACAGATTGAACAGTTACAAATCCAGAGGAACAAAAATTTGCAAGATGTGGATATATGGGTGGGTGATTGAAAGGAAAACCACTGCGTGTAGTACAGGAGGGTATCGTAGCAGCTTTGGAGTTGTAGTTTCCGTTTCTGAGGATCACATGTTGAACTCTCATATCTGATTTCTGGGAATTGAGATGATCTAAGGAGTGTTCTACCCCAGTGTAGTTCTCCAACTCTCTCTTGTAGCTAGTTGGCTCTTTGCGAATGTTGAAATCATGACCAGAGCTTAGCATTCACCTCTGATGCACATAAACATGTTGACTCTTTCTCCTCTGACCATTAATAGGTAGCTTCTCATGGTTGGATCAGTAGTAGTATTTACTGCTAATGTATTGTGTGGTATGTATATTCCTCCTGTCTTTGGGATATATAATTTTAGGATTTCTCAGACATCTTCTTAGTCAATATTTTTTAATGTTTTAGCATCTCAAGAACCTGCTGCCCCAGGAGCAGAAGAGGCAGAGGAGGAAGTTAAGAAAATATCAGAGTCTTTCTTCTACAATTACACGGAGCTTGCTTCAATGCCTTTTGTGACTCCAGATTCTGGCATACCTCTGAATTTCCTTGAGCTCGTGTATCCGCTCCAGCTACATATGCATAATTCAAGGATTTTATTTTTTAGGTCAGAGGTCGGCAAACTATGGCCTGTGGAGCAAATCAGGATCCCAGCCTATTTTTGTAAATAAAGTTTATTGCAGCACAATCACACTTATTCATTTATATTTTGTTTAAGGCTGCCATCACTTTCAAGGGTAGAGTTAAGTAGTTGTGATGCTAATGAAAATATTCTCTTCTTTTTTACATTGTACATTTACTTCTTGTGAAAAATTCTGCAAAATTTGTTTCTTTAGAAGGTTCACTTACCTGTAAGGAAATAAACTTCCTTGTAAATAAGTGAACCCTCTAAAATCAATTTTCTTAGAAACAAGGGGTGAAGAAATAAAGATTTCTCCAGTGATCCTTCAATTTTGGTGTACAACAACAAATTGTCATTATTTGAAAAACCTGTCTACTTAAGGTGTTACATGATATGTTTCTTTTGCCCGCTCAATTTTTAATAGATTCATCTTATTACATTTTACTTAATACAATTATCTTTTTATATTAATTTGAACCTGAATATACATTGCAAGACATTTATATAACTCAGTTTTTGAAAACTTCTATTTTTGAATAGAGCAGTTTTATAAACATACCCATCCACATATATTTGTCGATATATCAGTGCACTTACTTACTTTGAAGGAAATGTTAAGCTTACTAATTATATATGTTTATATACCATATAGTTAGTCAATTTTCATGATTTGTTTGTATAAATTAAATTTCAATTATATTTATGTTAATTTATCACAGTGGTTCCATTAGCAAATGGTGGGTTAGAATTTCACAAATGTCAGAATTTTAAACATCTTTTTCAGCATCAAGCAAGAAATCTATACAATATTTTTACATGATCGGTCAACAAACCACAGCCATTATGAATACAAAAATGATGAAGATGATAGACTCTATTCCATGTTATACAAAGTGATTTGCTTTTATTTAGAGAGAAAAATGAGATTACTTAGGTGACAACTTTGCTGTATGATACCCAAATAGAAGCTTTAACATTGTTATTGCAAAAACAATTAATGTGCCTCTTGAATTTCCTTAGGATACTTAAAATAGTAACTGAATCAGTGTATGAGGATTTTCAGTTAATTTAAAAATAAAATTATGTCGGTAATACCTAGAAAAAATAAGTTGTAGGGTAAAATTCAACTATGTTAGTAATACCTAGAAAAAATGAGTTTTAGGGTGAAATTCAACTACTTCAACCTTGAATCCTCAAGAATATGGATTTAAAAATATCTATTTCATTACCTTTGTTTTAATCCCTAAGATGGTTATTTTGCTTCACTTCTTTTCCTTAACAACTTTCCCTCAGACATTCTTTTGGCTATGACTGCAGAAAACGAGCCAACCTACAACTTCTAGACAGCAATACCATATTGTACGTTGCTGGGAATCAGCTGGTCCTTCTGGATATTAAAACCAAGGAACAAATCTACCTGCGAAGTAGCAGTGGTGAAGGAATTGGTGCCATTGCGGTATGACTTTAGTGACGGTGAAAAGAAGCTCATCTTCTTTATTGTTCTGTGGACCAACCCTCAGTAATTGTTAGGTGCCAACTCCATGTGTAGCCTTATGGGAACACATGGGGTGCACACCATCACCTAAGGCATTTTCTACTCAGTCATTATAACCACTACCTTCGCTGACATTGTCTTCATGCAGTAGTTCAGACATTAAGATTATTATTATTATTGTTACTATTATCCCATTTTACAGATAAGGAAACTGGGGCTTTAGAGCCTTGGTGACTTCCCCACCGTTGTGCAGGTTTTTTCACATTCAGATTAGAAGTAGGAGTGGTTGATTTTTTATTGGAGTACTGATGCAGGCATGTGGCAGTGGGAAGGGAGAAGGTGAGGACAGTGTGAGACCCACAGAGAGGACACAGAGGCAGACGGAGTGTGGAAACAGAATAGCATGAGATATGCAACGTGGAAAGATAATCTCAAGTTGGCTTCTTTCTTGATCATTGATATGTAGCATGTGTCCATGATAAAAGTCCCTGTCCTGAGGGGTTTTTCAAAACTAGTAAGCTTAGCAAGAGTTTATTGTATAGTACTATTCAGCCAAGACTACGCAGAACACACAGTGTAGAATTTGAAGGAAGAATTCATAACCTGTACAAATTCAAAGTTTAAAATTCATCTAAGGAGAAAAAACTACTTTTAAAAACCTAGATACATAAGTACATGATAATGTGGTGATAGCTATATGCAAATAACCACGGGCCCAGTGTGAAGTCATGGGTTTTGTGGGGGGAAGTCATTCAGAAGCTGTGAGGGATCAGGAGCCTGACGTCCACACGACCTGCAGAGGCAAAGAGATGTGTAATGATCACATGTTCAGTTCTCATTTTGTGACCATTAACAGTCTTTTTCTATTTTGTTGTAAAATAATGTGCTATGAAGGCAACAAGCAGAGGTGTAGTGTGGCCAAGAATGCTCTTCCTAATCCTTAGCCATCTGGATGTTGCGTGGTTTTGTGTCCCCGGGGGTTTTATCCCCCTGTCTGTTGTGGGGCAGTGACGGAAGCCTCTGCGCTCCTGTGCATGGCCCCTGTCTTCCTGCAGCAGTTGTGCATGAGGATGAGAAGCACTTTTGCAAGGCTATAAGAAACCTGGGAGAAATGTGTTCGGGGCATATACAATAACTTCTAGAAAAGACAGGGAGAATTCGTATGTTGAGTATCCAGTTAATGACTTCCTAACTCCAGATTTCCACTAAAAACAAACACCCAAACTCAAGCTCATGGCAGCTTCTACTCTGAGGAGGCAGAAACTTTTTTGCTAACTGTGGAGAAGATAAGACCTCTATGTCTGGCTTGGAAATATCATCTTTCTTACCTCTATTAAGTTTACAGTCATTTGTGATGTTTGTTCAAGATAATTTTTGAAAATTGAGATATAATCTCCTCTGGAAACATGAATTTCATACTGCTAAGGTTTGAATGTGTCTCCCACAGTTTATGCCTTGGAAATTTAATTCCTAATAGGACAGCGTTGGGAGATGGGGCCTAGGAAGGCATGGTGAGGGCATGAGTGGATTACTATAGTTATGGAGGAGGCGGGTCAGTTAGAATGAGAGTGGGCTGCTGTGAAAGTGAAGCTGGCTTCTTTTGCTTTCTCGCTCTCACCCTTGCCCTTTCTCCTTCCCTTATGAGAGGGTGCAACACAGAGGCTCCTCCTGAATGTGGTCTCTTACTCTTGGGTTTCCCAGCCTCCAGAACCATAAGCCAAATAAATTTCTGTTCATTGTGAGTTACCCAATCTGAAGTATTTTGCTCTAGCAGCAGAAAGTAGACCAAGACAAATAAATTCCATAAATTTTCTATGCAGAATTTAGGTAGACTTATACAGAGGACAAACAATTCATCCAACTTAGAGGTTCTCAGGTGTAATCCCCAGGCCAGCAGCATTAACATCACCCTGAAACTTCTTAGAAGTGTAAGTCCTGATCTACTGAGTCAGAAACTTTGAGGGTAGGGCTTACAATTTGTGTTTTAATAAACTTTTCAAACGATTCTGGGGCTGGGGTGTAGATCAGTGGCACAGTGCCTGCCTGGCAAGCATGAGGTCTTGAGTTCCGTTCCTGGTACCAAAAAAAAAAAAAAAAAAAAAAAAACCTCAAATGATTGATTTTGATGCGCACTAAAGATTGAGCGCTATCGTTTTAGCTTTTATACAGGAAATCTAAAGTTAAGGTTAGAAATGACTATCTGAATGAAAGTAAACCCGGAAGTTTTACTTCTAGTTTTCAGGTCAAATCATATCCATCATCAAATGTTCCTCAGATGCCCACTTTGGAAGTTTCTACTGGACTAGGTTGTAATTAACCAATTATAAAATCATGACCACTAAATGCTGCATTAGTAAGATTACACAGAGATCTTACCTTTAATATTTTAGTGAGATTCCATCTTTTGTAGGTTCATCCACATAAAACTTATTTCGCAGTAGCTGAAAAAGGAAGTTTTCCAAAGATTATCATCTATGAATACCCTTCTTTGAGGCCCTACAGAATCCTTCAAGGTAAGTCTGATAGAGCCTTTAAAATATTTCATGTTCGACGTTAATGACATTCTGAAGAAGACATAAGATTATTGAATTAATCAGGATTCTACAGAGAAATAAAACTAGTAGGAGATGGAAAGCAGATTTATTTAATGGGATCGGCTTACACAATTTTGGAAACTGTGTAAGTTTAAAATTTGTAGGCCAAGGCTGAAGGCTGGAAATTTTAGGGGAGTGAGTTGATGATGTGGTCTGAAGGCAGAATTTTTTTCTCCCTCATGGAATCTTTAGTTTTACTTTCAAAACTGATTGGGTGAGGCTCCCTTAGATCATCAAGGATAATCTTTTTAAAGTCACTTCCCAGCAGCATCTAGATTATTCTCTAGCCATCTAGAATATTGTTTAGCCAAGTTACACATAAAATTAACCATCACAGTTATCTTCCAATTCTGTTTTTCATGTAGCTAATTTCAGTAGTTAGTTTTGGCTTTGGAGGTTTTCAGTGACAAATTTTATATTGTAGATTGATTTTTCCCAACTTATCTAATACACTTTTGTGTTTCTCTTCCTTCATAAGATAAAATATGTTTACAAAGTGGTTTTTCTCATGCAAAATGTGAATATGACTTCTTCACCTTCCCCCTTTATATCATGTAATGTACTCTAAAGCCAAGGGTGATGAATGATTTTGGAATTTCTCTCTAAAGGAGCACGGAATTCTTGTCATTCTTACTTGAATTCACCTCTCTTTCTCTCTCTCCCTCTCTCTCTCTCTCTCTCTCTCTCTCTCTCTCTCT